CACGACGCTTTTCTCCCTTGTTTCACGACTGGGGGAGATCCTCGCGAGCCATCTCCGCGACGGAAACGAATTTAATCCGCTCTCGCGATTTTCCCTCTCCCACCTCTCGACGCCGCAGCGCGCTCCGGGCGATATAGAAATCGCAAGTCGAGCGTCGCTCGTTATATTACGGCCGCGACGACAAAGCCTCGCGCCTTTTACGTATTACACGGTCGAGAAACGCCGGAGACAATTCGCTGTCGTTTCGACCGGGCAAACGTACTCTATCTTTGTTGTATATAGCTTCGCGAATCCTGATTGGTGTGTCGTCTACTCGCGATAAGTTCGCGAATTGCCGCTGTTCGTTGTTGATACATTAACACATTGATATCGGATGACATAGTAATAAGTTTTTTTTTCAAACAGAAGCTGAGGGCGGTTGACGTAGTACAGTAAATTCTTGACGAGTGTTCGAAGGCTCCTCAGCAATGAACATTTAATATTTCATAAACTAATGGGCATATGAGGCTGAAACATATATCATTTCCTGCGGAATTCCAAGCTCTATCCTTGTGCTAAATCCCCTTGAAAAGTCTGAATCTGTCCTCTCTGGTGCTAGTATTGTACTTACGTCATGGTCGCTTGTTTTGCTACTAATCTACTTGTGATTGGTATGTTCTGTGTGCATCACGAGGTGGAAGAAGTGAGGGGGTATGTATTGTTTTTTGGGATTCCTGAAACTCATCGTCGAGATACCCTAAATAACTGTTCCTAGGGACGACTGACTAGTTTTGTCGCCTACCTCAGGTCGCAACACCAACGACTCGAGAGCGAGAGGTGATCTTATGAATTATAGAGAGAAAAAACCTCGTCCCTCGATGGAATTGTGTAATCGTCCCGGGGAAAGCCAGAGAGGAACGACTGCTATGTACATTCCCCGACAGTCAGCTACCACCATCTAGTTACCCTCGCGCAAACTACCACCGCCGGGCGTAAATAGGAGCGGCTGTGCTTTCTCTCTCTTCCCGTCCTCTCGGTTCACCCTCCCCGATTTCTCTAGTCCTGGGCTTGTTCGCCGGAAAACCACGTCGTGTCTTGTGGATATATATTCGCGGCGAGGGACGTTTTCGAGCCTCTTCTACTCCCTGCCACCGTTTGCGCCGCCCGTATGTTTCAGGGTTCTTCTTGTGCCAACGCGTTTGTTAGCTTCGTTATTCCGCCTCTATATTGCTCGTACACGCGTCACGCGCTTTATCAGTCTCCTGTGGTTATTGTCTTTCGTCCAAAGGGCCCGTCGTTGATCCCAGAACACACCGAGAATCGTGGGTGAGGATATTTCTTGATGCCTCGACGCGATACACGCATGAATTTGCTAACGGGCAACCGGTCGCGCCTATATTGTATCCGTCCCCGACGGTTCGTTCCGGTTCTTACGGTCAGAAGTTTCTCGAGGACAATAGATTTCGCCGTATGAACTCGTACATACTCGCGCACACCAGATCAGCGTGGAGGGGGCTGGAAGGACCGTGCCCCCAGTTTCCAGAAAAGAATTTAATAAATTTTTGTTTATTATTTCCTTGAAATAATTATCAATCTCACTAGATGCAAAAATAAATCGGACGAAAGTTATTCGAATATAACGAAGCATTGTTAAAATGAAAGTTACCCTTCGAAAGGCCCTCGAAAACTTGTTCATAGACTTGTATCAATATATCGCGACTTTTCGAGATACCTCGACCAACCTAACTCCACAACGTCAGGCGAAACAGTTCGGGCAATTTTTCCTGAACTGAAAAACAGTAATATAACCAGACTCCGGATTTTATGTCTCGCGGGAAAGTAGATGAAGTCGTCTCGCGCACGGCCGAAAGGTTCCACGAAGACTCGGATAAGTTTGAGAGTAGCGTGGCGGGACGGGCCAGGGGGTGAGGGCGGAGGCAGAGGAGGAAATAAACGACGGAAGGCGGGAGAGGAATAAGAAGACACCGTGTGCCTGGCGTGTACCTCTACTCTCTGTCGCGAGAAAGCCAGGGCATGGTGGGCACGGTAGGATGGGGGAGGAAGGTGGGAGGGGACGTTATGGTTGCCGCGAAATTATTGCATATAGTCTGAATATTAAAGCGCGGCGGAGTGCTCCGTCGTACTACCGCGGATGGTGGATGCCGGATGATGGACGCGAAAGGAGAGAATCGTCGTGTGCGCGCACTCGTCCACGTACCTACACACGTACACACAACACTGTAGGAACACCACCGAGAAGGCGGGAGAGGACAGAGACAAAGCGAGGCGAGGCGAGAGAACGTCGGTGCGCGTCGTCCTCGGAACGGGGTGAGAGGCGAAGGTTTAAGGGATACGAAGGGAGGAGAGGGAGGACAGGTAACGCCACCGAGAACCACCGTGGCCGCCGGGGAAATTACGGCTCCTTCCTTACTTGCCAGAGATGTGCATAAACTCTGCATTACGCACAGTGGCGCTCATACTTGGACTACCGAAGAGTACATACCTACTTACTCACGAGCATACATCCATCGATGTATATGGGCAAATGTTAAATGAAAATTGCCACGCGATTGATGCTCCAGAAACTTCGTCTTGGTACCATGGTTGTGACACGTTCTCCGTCCGCACGGATCTCTCGGACAATTCACCTCGAAGTACCACTCGAACCCACCGATCCAGTACCATTCGCCAGAGGATCACGTTAACCGATTTAGCTACCAGATCCTCTTACGACTTCCTCCCCATTATCTAACTACGATACCGATACCTAAGACGCTAGAAACATGTTTTTCTATATCGTTTCTTTTCCCCTACCCCCCTCGACAATTTCTCAGGAGGGGGGGGGGTATGCGCGACCCAAGAAGCATGAGAGGCGCTGTTTCGTATAGAATGCATGACTCGAAGACAGGACGGCCCCGAAGTCTCCTCAACGAGCGTAAGTACCCATCTCTAGACGACGACGTTCCGTCGACCTACACTTCTCCCTCTTGCTCACTCTCTCGCAATGTCGTCCTTTCCCTGTCCCCCGTCCCCCGCCGGCCCCATCTAAATCTCCGTTGTTTATTGCAAATGGATTCCGCATCATGATGCCCGGGTGGCTGCGGGACCCTATTCAAATACCTCGTGTTTCCTCGTCAGAACCGACTGCCCCCTACCCCCTCTCCCCTACGGCGTTCGCTTACCCTCTCCGGTACACGGGGTTGTTATTGCCCCCGGCGTGATTGTTCTCTCACTCTCTCTCTCTCCTTCTCATTCTCCATGCCTCTCCTTTCCTCCCGAGATCTTTCGAATAATTTACTTTGCGCGATACCGCTCGCGACGCTCACCTCTTTCCCCTCTCCAGTCGCCTCTTTCCGCTTCGCGCAGAACGCCCTCTCCTCTGTTCAACCCACACCCAACCCCCCCGAGGGGCCCTCCTTCCTCCTCTTTCTTTACTTCTTTTTTTTCTTCTGTTTGTTTGGGTAATCGAGGATCGAAGTCGCTCGGCCGGAAGATCAGAAAAATTGAGTGGATCCTAATACGGGAACGCGATTATCCGAATTAGCGGCTTGCCACGGGTTGCGCTCTCGTCGCCCTCTTTTTCGTCGCGGATACCCAGACTCGCTTTACACAGATCGTTCGTCTCCTCCACTCAGTGGCTAAGGGGAGAAGAAGGGTGCCCGGGGGTCTATAGCTTTTCTTAAATTTCGCCCTGTATCCATTGTTATCCCCCACCCCCGTCGCGGATTATTTTGCCCGCCGACTGTTCGAGGAAACGAGACGCGAATAGGAGCTGGTGGAAAATTCTCCTCCTCTGGTACACGTTTACGTTCAACGATATTTCACCCTTCACCCGATCTACGGTATAGGATCGCGAGAACTAGATTCGAGAACTCTTGTCGCAACGTTGATTCAGGAATGTATTAGGCACACAAATTAATTCGTGGCTTTCTTTTCATAGATTTGTTGTTTGTTTATAAGAAACCAAAATACAGTACCTAGTCTCGAAAATATTCTCCATCACTTTCTACAGATTTTACGGCATTTCTCAGGCAGTTGATAAATCTCCTATCGAAAACAAGGACGATGGTTTTGAGTGAATAATTAATTGTGGGGGCCACGAATTAACTTTTACGCCTGATATAATCGGTGGAAAGGATACAGTGTGGTCATAAAGTACCTGGGACTAAAAGACACAGTCGATTCTTTTGTCCGGTTTGAGTTTACGACCACACCGCGACCTCGTCTGTCAATAGTAAGTAAACTGACCTTGGTAGTTCTGCCAGAAAGCCGAGGCCTGGCTGCCGATCAGGTCAAGCCCGTAACCCCATGCCGGTTTCTCGGGGGTGGAGGGTTGCTGGGAAGGACGCGGCACCGTGGCTTCTCTGTACTGTTGGGCCTGCTGTTGCTGCTGAAGGGGTTGCTGGGACGACTGTTGTTGCGACGGTTGCTGTTGCGACTGCGAGTGCACCGGACTTGCCTCTGGTGGCTCCGAACTCGTGCGCGCCTCTACCGTCACGTTTTCTAAAGATTCAGGGACAAAAAGAATAAAACGATCCGTGTTAGCTAATTGTTATCGTCTCAAGTGTTCGCGATCGTTAGACGCGATAAAGTAAACCATCGATGAGTGTTCGAAGGAGAATAAATATTTCATAAATTAACGGCCATATACAGGTGAAACAAATATCACTGGCTTCAGAATTCCAAACACTATCACTGTCCTGAACCTCATGAAAAAGTCAGCGTTACACTTAGGGGCCCTATCCTTGGCGAGCCTTCGAACATTCATGGATGATTAACTGTACTACGAGGGAAGGGGAGGAGGGAGGTTATACGTCGTGGTTCGTCTGCTGTCGCGATCAGGCAGGTAAACGCGAACAACCACCCCTCGACGAGCAGCGTGTGGCATTCGCGTGCTCTCCATTTCATTTGAAATTAGTATCGCTATAGTGCTCTGCTTCTGACAGGGTTAATCAGCGGCAGCAGAGGCGTGCTGCGACGACTCGAGCGTCGGCAACAACCACCGCTCTATATATCGGAATAAGAGATTTCACTTAAAGGGTTTCTCACAAGCTGAGTTTTGCTAGTGACAGGAATAGAGGGGTGTGCCACCCGCGATACTAGCTCTTTCGCTGCCGATGGAGATCGCGGGCCCGTTTATCGTTAGCCCGAAGTGAAGACGCGGAGATGGAAGTGAGGGGGGTGGAGATCCTCGACGATGATTCCCGGAGTGAGGGGGAGAAGGATCTACCCGGCGGCTGGGGGGGATAAGTAAGGAATCGTATTCCGCCGGGTGTCAGGCTGTTTGCTCTGCCTCGGCGAATTAATTAATTTATTCCGAGATCACCGGTAGCCCCGGAGGCTGGCTCTCGATGCCGAAGATCGCGGTGGAAAACGGGCAAGAGAGTCGAGTCGAACCCATCCTCGTCACTGTATTCCTATGTATAATCCTCGGAGCGAAACACGCGCGAGAGGTCGCTTCCTGTCCGTCCGTTTGTCTCGGAGGCCTTTAAGAAGCCTTTAAGGCTCCCATGGACGATAGGATAAGTTACACATAGAGTGGAACAGAAGGTTAGGACGTTTAACCCTTTCGTTACGGCAAACTTATCAGACAATATGATCGCTGTGGACGGTGCGCTCAGTTGACAATATCTTTTGTGCATAGCGTGACATAAAAATATAGTACAGTATATACAGTATAGTAGCGAAAGGGTTAACTACACGATATTATAATCAATTCAGACTATGAAGATTCTTACCGGTGATCGCTCTGACTTGCTCCGTGGACGCCCCCGTCGCCTTCAACGCCTCCTCGAGCTGCGTGCGCCTCTTGATCTCCAAGTCCAATTGCTCCTGCAGACGTTTTCTTGCTCTTCGTTCCTTCTTTAACCGTTTCTGGTATATCACTGCAGCAAACACAAACAGAAAAAAAAAGAATGTTTAATTCATACGTTTAGTGTCGCCACGCGATTAGGATCGATACGATTCATATTGTCGCTCGTTCGTTCGTTCGCGGCGCTTCTTCGAGACGTACTCGTGCCCGACGGACACCTGTCAAAACGACTTAGCGGGACGGGGGCCCGCCCGCCGTTCCTCCCAGCTTCCCCCGCAGGTGGCGGAACCCCGGCGCGGTCAAAGTCCAACGGAATTATCTTGGCGTATCATTCCTACCGCGGGGGGTGTTCACAGGCAGAGCAGGGGGCCCTCGGAGGGGGGCCCCCTCCCCTTTTCAGCACGCGTCTAAGCGGGGGTCTGATCGTCTCGACGGCTACCGTACGCGCGCCTGCCTGTCCGCGGATGCCTGCCGAGGATCGACGCGCTACGATCGACCGTGTTCCGTTCTGTTCTGGTTATCGATCGATCTGCGAATCGTTTCACCCGGATCAACCGGTTTTCTCAGTGGCGGCGCGCATGATTTGCAAACCGAGTCGAATTACATACACTTCTTTTTTTATCGTGTTTTTTTTTTACGATGATGTTTTTCCAGCGGAAAAGATGATCGAAGGTACGTCGTCGGGGAAGAAATATCCAATCTCACGTGGAATGGAAGAGTAGTGATGGACGATACGGTATCGATATTTTGAATATTGATAGATTTCAATTCAGATATCGATATGTAATGTGTCACAACATATTCCAGTATTAATACTTAATCCGTAAATGTAGAAATTTTGATGCAATCTTCGAGAACGAGAAGTAACAGTCATTTTGAATTTCATGCTTGTTCCAAACTGGGTTTAAATGTACATGTGGATCCTACCAATAATATCGATATTTTATTCCCAATGTACAATTGATATGAAATGCCGATACAATTCAAATGTATCGCCATCACTAGAGCCAAGTCAGAAAAGAGTAGATACAGTTCGACATGGTCAGACGCGTCCTCGCGGGCCAGGCCCGATCGGTGTACGATCGTACGGGCCTCGGGTCGGCGCGTTTGAGCCTCCCCCCTCCGCTTTAATTATTTTCCATCATTGTGAACCGCCGCGTCCGGCTATTGTGTCTTGTCGGGCGGGGGTAACCCGCTCCCGGCACTTTTGACTCGATCTCTCGCGAACCTGGGCATTGTTGTCGACTCGTTTTATCGAACAAGGATCCTCGTTCGATCTCGGGATCGACGGCGTTGCCGCATCTTCTGAATAAAAGGAGTCTCTCTCGAAGATACCAGAACAAGGACGATTCTGGGAATCGAAAGTACACACACTAAAAGAGGATCCTTAGTTACATACTCGGTTCATCAACGATTCCCGTCACGATCGACAGGTGGCCACCAGCTGAGAATCGCCGATACCGCGATTGATTCCTCGTAGACGAGGTGCAGACACAACCCCTTTTCCCCAACGTTACCACGTCTCACTGAACCCCCCTTTCTCCTCCGTGTGTACCTTTGTCCCTCCTCGATATTCCTCGCAACTCGCGAAGTTTCAACGCGGTGTTTCCAGAGGAAACGTTGTACAGCCCGATTTCCCGTCTCTCTTTCGCCGTCTACCGCGTTCTCCGTTTTCTGTCCTTCCCAGGTTCTCTCTTCTCCCCGGCCAGGTGCTGCGAGTGTCTCTCCGTCCGAATAGGTGCGCAACGTGGACGACAGGCAGGGTGAGGAAGAAAGCGCGAGAGGGTGTACGGAGGAGGTTGGCGGGAGGGGAAGGCGGACAGAGTGACGGGGGCGAGGAGGAACGCGAGGTAAACGTGAAAGTGGGGTGGGATAAGGTGGGAAGGAGGACAGAGAGTTCTCTCTCTCTCTTCAGCTAGTGGTAGTGAAGCGGGTGGAGGGGCACGAAGGGAGAAGCGGGGGGCGCAGCATTATGATGCAAAGATGGCGCGGCTGCGGCACCCTAGAATTAGCTCGAGCACTCGCCATTGGCCGCTCGGCAAACCACTCCTTCGGTAACAACCGACTGCATACGTTGCATACTAAGGATACACGCGAGCCGGGCAAAGAATTGCCACGACGAACCGGGGGCCTCCTCGAGATAGAGTGAGAGAGAACGAGCGAGCCCGATTTCCACCTACGATTCCATACTGTGCCCAAGTCTCTCTCTTTCAGGTTCTAAATTTGATTCCCCCCTTTGTCCCCTCGTAATTGTTGTTCTCGAAGATTTATTTTCTTTTTGAAATTCTCGAAAATATCTCACACCTTCGAACTTGGAATCGATTTCGATGGAGGAATGGTTTTTGTATTGAGTTTTGGACAATAGTTCCTCGATCCCTTATACACAAGTCGGCCTTCTCCGCGGACTGTCTCCTTCTCGATCCCCGTCGCGAGGTTTGTTCCGCCTCGCCTCGGACGTAACAGCCGTGTAACCGTTCCGGGAACAGAGAGACTCGGGGGCATCGGGCGTATTCAACGATTCTCGTCTTTCCTGTCCTTACTCCGGAGTCTCTTTTGCGTCGCCAACAGATTCCATAGCGACGGAACCATAGCTGGACTTGGCTCCATTAGGAACGTACGATTCATGTTCGAATTGGAATCGGGGGTAGCATCTCTTGGGTAACACGTCACTGTCATATACATCATATACACTACCGGTACAAAGTATGGGACCAAAGTTCACGATGGGATAGTAGCTCATTATTCTGTTACGATAAAATAAACAGTAATTTTAACACGTTACGTTTATTAACTCTTCGACAACTTTCCTCTTCATGGCAGTGACTTGTTACCAAAGAGAATCGAATTGGAATCGAACATTCCTACTTTTCACCTCCTAGTCAACAATATCTCCCCGAGTCTTAAAATGTTTTATATCGCGCCACTATATCAGTATAGATCTGAGGTTGTGAAATCAGAGCCAAGAGAGTGTGGGGGGAGTGGGCACAACGTTCCTTCGAGAGCGGTCAGATATCGGCGAGCGATCGAAGCGATGAATCGCGAGGAGGAAGCTCGTGGACGAAGGGGAAGGTAGCCGGATCCAGAGCGTCGGAGGCGACAGGTAGGGGTGACCCGAGAGGGGTACGAGGGGTATCGTTCAAGGGGGGAGGGAATGCTCCATTAGATAATGCACTGGAAGGAGAATAAGAGAGCCATGGGAGGACGAATTCTCTCTCTCACTCGGCGGACACGTCAAAATACATCAGCTACCGCTGTGCGTTCGCTCAGAAATCCTGAAAGGCCGCTGTCCGCGCGGACTCCCCACGTCGCAAGCGTTCTCGCCGTAGAAAGAGGAGGATCCACGGGGACATACGGTCGAGATGGAACGACACGCTTCGATCTAGGGATGTTTGATTATAATTCGATTCTTCGGAAGATCGATTCTCATGGGTAAACTGTCATGTATCCCACATATCCTAACGGTCGAAAGTATGGGGCCTGGTTCGATAATTAAACAAAAAAAGGAAAATATTATATTACAACAAGTTAACGAAGTTTAGTCTCCGAACGGGAACACCGAGAATCTAGTTTCCACTGAAGATAGATTCGTCGCCGATCCCGAGGAATTAGCGGCCGGCCGCGTAAACAATCGGGGAGGGAAAACAACGGACCTGGGGCCGAATTCAATAGGGAAACCCGCAGAAACTAATATACAGGCCTGGTCGTCTTACCCCCGGAACCGCGTTTAATACACGACCGTAGCCGGCAAGCGAGAGAACAGGCCCGTCGGGAATAGCAATATGATTTACATTTTGAGGTTATATTGACCATTCCCGGCACCTGCAGCACTCGGCCTCGCTTCCTAGCCCGCGGCCCGATCCCGTCGATGACCGGGATTCCGCCTTAGGAAAAATTAATAACACCCCAACGATCTCTCTGCTCGGTGAACGCAGTGGTCCGAGACTCGTGTGCAGATTATTTTCTGTTACAGTCGAAAATTCGAAATCATCCCCTCGTCTTGCACACCCACTTTTCTTGGTCGAATCGAAGAGGATCGTAGCCAAAAAGCTTTCGATCGGTATCGAGAGTCGTAAAACGGAAATAAATCGTCGAGAAGGAAGGCATATTCCTGTCGAAGGGGATAACGACCAACGTGTGTTCAAGGGGCTGCTCGTGGAAGCTTGTCCTTGTCCACTTAATGCGTAATTACGATTCATGAAGGCGGATGAACTACGGTGGTAGTGGCAGTGGCGGCGTCTGGACGGGCCAGCGAGCGTAATCTTCCTTCGAATACGTCCTCGAGGACCGTGTCGTCGAGCCGAAAACGTAACAGCCGTTCGCCCCGACGTTTAAAGGGGTTCTTACGCACCTACTCGAGACGCCTGTAGTAGAGGCTGCTGTTCCTCCGACGGACAGCATCTGTGCTCTACGGCTCTCCTCGATATCCATACAAAAGCTGTCCGTTGAATAACATTACGCTCGCCGCCGGGACGATTATAGTCGTATGGTACGAGCGTCGATAGTAGTTAGACCGTGCATCCTGTGCGAATGCTAATTTCGGACCGGGCAGGCAAAGCTCGGCCGAGCCCGTCCTTGGGAATAATCGACGAAACCGCGAACCGATGTCTTCCGGTCCGTCCCGTTCCATATATCTTGTGTTTTTTTTTGTCTTTTCGTTCGCGCCAAGATAGCCAGGCTTCGTTGGCTTCGACGAAGAAAGATCGATTCTTCTGGGTGTGCGAGGAAGAATCGAGAGAAAGAGAGATAGTGAGAGTTTCTCATCCTTCCTCCCTTGAATTTGGCCTGGGGTCGGATCTCGTTCAAATATCAATTTTGCGGTGACAACTTTTCGCCGACCCTCCTATATTCCGTGACCCATATGGAAATGGAGATCGGTCATCGGAATCCAGTTTGCGAGTGGAAACATCCTACCCCCGTAGAGGGTCAGCCGCGGCGCCACCCTTCGTCTAAGCCTATACCGAACGCAACCCTCACCATCCCCCCACCCCCGCCGCCGTGGAACGTCGTAAAGTCGAAAGCTTTTCGCTTTTACGTATTATTCTTTTATCCGATATCGGGATAGCCGGTGTATCC